TGTTTATAATGTAGCTAAAACCATCAAAACACCGAATATAGGAAGGTACCATGGTGATAATAAAACTTGGATCTGCACAGACAATTTACTGGGATAGGCTGTAGTATCCATTACGAACTTCAAATACAAAACTTGAAATAATTCCGGTAAATAATGTCGCTAAAATAATCAAAATACCGAATATCGGGAGGTACCGTTATATGGGGGCTATACGAAGACGTGGACCTACATGGCTCATTAGTATCTATTACGAACTTCAAATACCAATTCCGGTAAATAATGTCGCTAAGATCATCAAAATACCGAATATTGGGAGGTACCTTTATATGGGGCTATGCGAAGACGTGACCTACATGACCCATTTTCAATACCAAATTCCTGCAGACATAATACACATTTGAGTAAATTTTTATCAACTTACTTTATTTCGTTCGGAAGCTAGAGTGATTTCCACAGACGGACGGACTTTGCTAAATCGACATAGAATTTATGCTGATCTAGAATATATATACTTTGTGGGGTCTAAAATATATATTTCGAGGTGTTACAAACGGAATGACAAACTTAATATACCCTCTACACAATGGTGAAAGGGTACATACAATATATTCCAACAGCTGTTGATGTAGAAGGTAGGTTTTTACACTGCCTTTTATTGGGGTTATTCGTCTCATACAGCTTCCATGTTATTTCTGGGCGAAATATTAAAATTTTCAAATATTCTCATGAAAACTGATAAGATTTTATATCTCTTATCGAAATAATTTAATATTTTGTGATGAAATTATTTTACATTAAATAATAATGCATTTCTACTCTAAAACCCCAAAGCATACTTTTAGGCGAACGTTGATTATTCATATATTATGAATCATATTTGCTGTGTTCCAGTAGTGCAAGAATTTAAAAAAAAGTGACTACGATAACGGATTTTTCCTTATGATATCGACGAAAATTTTAAAACTAGTAGATTTTTGCAGATTCGGAAACGGAGCAATTATGTAAAGAACAGAATTTCACTCGAATGTATGAAATTTCAAAAAAAAAAAAAAAAACTAATAAAGAAAACCGATTATAAGACTTTATTTGTTGTTATTTTTATATTGCAAAGTGGGATCTATTTCAGGCGATGCTTATTGTAGAGTTTTGTTTTTTAAGTGCATTCATTCAATTCGCTATTGGATTGGGTGGTTGGGATCGGATCTACTTACACAATTATGTTAGTATTCTTACATCATTTCTGGTTTTTTTACTTGTTATTTATTTTCTTTATTTATTTATTTACTTTTTTGTTTATAAACAATTTATCTATATTATTTTTTATTATTTAACTAGGTAAATGTAATTACTTTAAGTGTTTATTTTATTTTTCTTGTTTGGTTTGCTAAGCTAAAACTACGTTTGGATTTTGTTTTTGGGTTTTGAGATTTTTAGATTATTTCATAATATTTATCCTTTTTGTTGTTGTTCTTTTCTTGTTTTATTTATATGATGTCGTTGTGTGAGAGATGTTGTTGTTGTTGTCATCGGATTTTTAGAATATATTCCTTGCACCATATTCCTTAAATTTGCAATGCCACATTACACATTTATTTCAAATATTTTGCAACAGATCTTTTTCTCAGTGTGTGACGTGGTGAAAATATTGCAACAGCCTTTCAACGAGCTACCACTTAAGACGATTGCCAAGATCTATTTGGTTTAGAGTTTTTGTTTTGTTCTTCTTTTTTGGGAAATAAATTTAATTTCATTTAAGGGTTATCGATTTTTATTTGTTTGGGGTTTTCTTTCTTTTTTTTGGCAGTGTATATAACTTAATTTTCTTTTTACATGTTAACATTATTCATATGATTTCTTTGAGTGTATTTAGTTATTTGTGTGTGTGTGTGTGTTTTTTTAATTTCTAATCAAATAGTTTTCTCTTTTTTATTGCTTGTTTATATAGTTTCAATTTAAGGATAATTGATTGCTTAGCTTAAATTAATCAGTTTTGGATAATTTGTTCATCCTTTCATAGACAATATTTTTTCTCAGTGTAGTTGTACAGATTTCTCACTTAGATGGCAATCTTTTTCCTTGTTTTTGTTTGAGAGTATAATAATATGTGAGGGTAGTAGTTAGCTAATGAGTCTCTCTTTCCAAACTTAGAGATCTATTCTTCACATGTAAAACCACATATTTACGCCCAAAATAAGGTGAGAAACTTGTTGAGCCTTGAGCAAGAGAGAGATAGAGAGAGGGAGAGAGATAAAAAGAGAATCGAGAGAGAAGGAGATTTTAGTAATTACACTTCTCAAAAATTGCATTTATATGGGTGCGATGTATTGCTTCTCTCTCTGTCTTTTTTGAATGAGAGTTTTGTGCTTTCAATATTAAAAATAGTTTCATGCGAAAGCGTGGCAAAAAGCAAAAGCCTGGTGAATGGTGCATAAAATATAGGCGAATAATTCATGGGATAATATTATGTGTTTTATTGAAACCTGGTGAGTCTTATTAGGCACCTTATTTATCCGAAAGACCAAACCTTACCTTTCAGACAAGGGTCAAAGAGTTGCATTCCGATTTACCTTTCGCATTTCGCAAAGCTATATGTATAAAAAGAAGTGAAGAGAGACGGCTCTCTGTATAAGAAACTGTAGGAATTCTTTTCAAGCAATAAATACATAAGCAACTGGTATTCATTCTCGTTTAGTTGACAAAAAATCCTATAGCATATCAACAATTTGATCGCCGGAAATATTCTATAAAATACCCGAGATTTAGGGTATAATTTCTTTAATTTTTTTAAAATCCATGCTTTGAGACTTGGAAAAAAATTCTTAAGGAATCCATGTTTTGAGACCAGGTAATACTCTATAAAACATCAGAGATTTCATCCGAAATCTACGATTTCAAACCAGGAAGTTTTCTTCAAAATTACGTTTTGAGATCTCTTTAGAGATTCATAGTTTGAAACCAGGGAAGTTTTTATAAAATACAAGATATGCGAGCTGGAATTCTTCCTTAAGCTCACTTTTGGAGACACTAATAATATTCACTAATATTCATTTAAAATCCATGATTTAAGACCCGGAAATGAACTTTCCCTAAAAATCCATGTTTCGATACCCGGACACCTTCTTTAAACATATCCTACAAAATATCAACGACCTCAGACTGGGAAATATTCGCGATTTCGGACTCGGAAAAATACATAATTTGAGACATAGAAATATTCGCAATTTGAAACCCTGAATTATTCTTCAATAATCCATGACTTAAGATCTGAAAAACAAACATTTAGAAGTTCATGATTTGAAGAGCGGAATCATTTAAAAAAAAACATGATTTGCGACCCGGAAAAATCCTATACAATATCTAGGATTTAAGAACCAAAATTATTCCGTATGATTTTTTTTAGAAATCCAGGTCCTGCGGTCTTAAAAGAGTGTAAAAATAGTTTTAGAAAATTTTCGAATTAAAAAAAAATCTTTGAAAATTCATTCATGTGCTGGATTCTGTTTCATGCCCTATTTTGAAATTTGTTCCGACCAACCGCACAATTCAACTGCGCATTTTCAATATACTATATGGGGGCTTGTAGTTAAATATTGAATGTTTTCATTGGTGGGGAAAACTTTGGCCCGAATTGAATATGTCAACTGAGTTCGCCTTATTTACAATTTTTAAATATATCAAGTTCCCACAAAAGTTGATTTGTTGTAATATTCGCTTGAGCCCCAGTTGTATATTTTTTCAAAATAGAAATATTTATTGAATATTTTTAATAAAAAATGTGTTTTGAAAGCGGTAGAAGAGAGCAGCTGGATTTTTCGTATCCTCTTGTAAGTACACATGCGCAAAACATTGGTGTACAGTAAGCCTAGAGGTGACACAGTAAGCCTAGACTCTTCTTTTGCTGTCAACACTAATTTTTTTTAAATAAAAATATTTTTCAAAAAATATTTAAATTTTGACAAAAATATTCATGCACAACATCGAAATGTAAAATTTCTGAAACATATTTATGTATATTTTTTCGGTTTTAAAGGATTCCACAGGACAGACAGGAAGAAAAGACTTAGGCCTGAAGTCGCCTCTTGTGAGGCGAATTCTTCTAATTTCTGGCAGATACCTCAAAAAGTAAACCATAAAATGACTAGGAAGGTTCCATAAATTCTACATCTTTCTCAGATGTAATTCGAAACACTTTAATTGTAATTTGAGAATTATATTTGTAATTCGAATCTTTCGAATTGTAATTCAAAAATTCCAATTGTAATTCTAATTATTCCAGTTGTAATTCAGGAATTCCAATTGTAATTAAAATTCTTTCATTTGAAATTTGAATTACTGTAATTTTAATTCGAAGAAGAAAATTTAAATAATTTGAATTGCAAATGGGAATATTTCAGTTGTAATTCGAATTACAATTGAAATTTTCGAATTACAAATATAATTTTCAAATTATTGATCATTCTAATTATAATTGGAATACTCGAATTATAACTGAAATAATTCGAATTACAATTGGAATTCTCGAATTACAAATGAAATGTCACGAATTAAATTCCAATTGTAATTCGAATTATTCTATTTTTAGTTAGAATTATTCAAATTGTAAAATGTAGAAGTTTTCGAATTACAAATGAAAAAAATCGAATTACAACTGGAATTTTCGAATTACAAATCGAATGATTCGAATTACAAATGGAATTCTCCAATTATCAATCATTCGTATTATAATTGAAATTCTCGAATTACAAATGAAATAATGCGAATTACAATTAGAATTCTCGAAGTACCAATGGAATGCTACTAATTAAATCAAAAATTCTTCGAAAAGATTGAGCGTTGCTAAATCATAATATGACACTTGTACATGAGTACTTTATGCATTACCCCGTAATGAGATTTGCCATGAGCAAGTAACCTCAAACACATTACAACCCTCCCCATTTCCATTTAAAGCTCAATTAACATTTGAATATTGAAATGACAACTATTTTGCACTCTTTCAATGAACTTCTCTCTCATCTCTTTTTTTTTTTTTGTTGTGCTTTAACACTCCCTCTCACTCGCTCATTTCTTACGCAAAAAGTCGGTATATTTACGTGCCCGCTTGCGCACTTTCTTCAAAGCATTGCTTATCTTGAAACTTTCACGCAAATGATGATCGTGTAGATGATGATGCGAGTGATGTGAATGCGTGTGAGAGTGGACATGCGACCGCTGAATGCCCGGCGGATAGTCATAGTGAGGATGATGCTGCTGCAAATGTACATAGGATGTTGTCGAAGGATTTATCGAAGCCGAATAGGTGGAGGAGCAAGCTGGCGAACCGGGCGATATGGGTGAGCGTGGTGTTGTGGGTGAATACTGGCAACTGCCGCGATGTGATGAAATCAAATTGTGACCCGAAGCAGCATCGAATGATTCAAATGACACGCCTCGTGGTTCGGGCGAATGCAACGATGAGGAGTGCTGACTGGACGATGTATTACCGCCGTTGGCTTCATCACCCCGATTCATGTTTGCGGGTATTTCATCGATGCCCAAGGGTTTGTCGAACGTTGAGTTGGCCGACATGTTGGTGTAGTCGTACGTTGGATAACTGTATGGCAGATAAGAGCTATCCGATGTCATCATTGAAGTAGCAGTGCGCGACGTGGTATTGATGAACTTCACCTCATTGGTATTGCGCTCTGTGGAGGTACTGAAAACGATATTTATATTATTTGTGCTCGAAGATAAGTTGATGTTGGCCGCCGACAAGGGTTGCTGGTTGAAGTTTGCCGAGGGACAACCTGCTCCACCTGCACAACTCTCAGATGTGGATGTGTTTTGATTAAGATTTGTCTCCTTACTGGAGTTGCGGCGATAACGACTGTCATAGCTGCGCATGCTTTCGGCCCCCTCCACCGAAGACAAGGTGTTGGTGGCAGTGTTGTTATTGGCAAAATTATTCTTGTATTGGAACTCCAAGGCATTGCTCGGCTGGAAGGGATACGTCTTGGTATTGTTCAATATATTTCCAACATCCTGTTGACCCTTGGCCAGATAGTGATGGATATCCTCACTGGTGATTTGCAGATCCTGATCCAAGTACGTGTTGCATTGTATGTAATTGCTGCAACAGTTGTTGAAGGCCTCAGCATCCTGATGGAACTGGACCATGGTCGACTCTTCGTACTTGCAAGGACTGTCACAACATTTTCGCGATGATGTCGATGGCCTGACATCGTCGGAGGCTATGGATTTACGATGCTGAGATTGAGATCTTGGCGGTTTCTGGGGTTGTCCAGCCGTCCGGTGGTCCTTGCGGCCTCGTTCTGGCTTGATGGGCTGTTGATAGTGATATTGCTGGGACGAGGAGGAGTGTTGTTGCTGCTGCTGCTGCTTATCAGCAGCCCGTTTATGTTCGGGCGGCTTTGATTTGGCTCCATTTCTCTCAGCGGTTTCGGCTTTCGATTGGGTCGAGTCGCCAGCGTCTTTGTCATTTTTGCCATCAGCCAGGAAACTCCACCTTATCGGGGAGGGAGAACAAGCATATTCAGGTAGGTCATTACTTAAAGCATCTTTCGAAGTTTGTCTTTCTATAGTTACCTTGGAAGCGGAGCCGTGTAGTTTCTCACCAGTCTCGGCATATTGTTTGGCACGATCGAATATGGAGGCTAAGGAGCCCATATTACTGTCAGGCCGTGACTCGGCATTGAGGGCCCGCAGCGAGATTGAGTGATAGCTGGGTTGACGCTGTTGGCTTATTTTCTTCTTTCGCAGAGTGACCGAGGCCGATTTGACGGAATTGTTGCGACTCAGGGAGGAACGCGAACCATAGAGACTGGTTGAATCGGTTTGGTAGCAATAGTCGGAAGAAGTGCAGCAGGACGATGGCCGGCGCGATGAGGTGCCATACAAATCCTCGGCAAAATATTGAGCTAACTCAGGCCTTGAACCCGAGCAACAGGCTGCGGATTTGTGTACGAAAATTTCTTGAACCTCACGATCAGTGCAGGTCGGATCGTTACAGGTGTTTAGCGATGCATTGGATAGGTCGGTTACCGAGCGATGGCGACGGGTGCATGTGTGTGTTGTGTGCGTCTGAGTGCGAAGAGCGGAGTGTGTTGGGCCATCGTGATGATGCTGCTGGATGTCTGCATCGTTATTGCCCGCTCCATTCGTAAGTGGTTTACGCCTGCGATGGTGGTGATGGGAGTGATGACGGGCATGCATGTGGGAAGAGGTACTCCTCACCGAGGCTCTCAGAGCACTGTTGCGTACAAATGGTTCCGGTGCATCGTGGCCATTTTGTTGGTGTTGATCATGCAGGTGATGATGAGTTGATTGATGTGGTGAGGAATGAGAATGTCCATGACTGTGGCTATGACCATGTCCTCCAGCACCATGGGGTGAGGTGTGGCGACTGTGTGGAGAGGTATGACGGCTATGTGGAGAGGTGTGACGGCTATGTGGTGAAGTATGACGGCTATGAGGTGAAGTGTGTCGGCTATGGGGTGATGTATGCCGGCTGTGTGGAGATGTGTGACGACTGTGCGGGGAGGTATGACGACTTGGATGTGGACTGTGACTGTGTCCATGCGCAGATTGTTTTCGTGGCATGTGTTGGTGGCGATGCTGTTGTTGTTGTTGCGGTGTTTGCGAATCGCTTGCATTAAACGGCAGTGAATAGTCGGCGGTGCAAGTGGTGGTGGTCGCAGTGTTGGTGTTGCTTTGTTGCCAGTGCTCGCTGTGCTGCTTTGATGTCGGCTGTTGCGGTTGTTGCGGCTGCTGATGGTGCTGGTGCATTTGAGACTCATCACATACAATATCTTTTTCATAGCTACAGTGTACGTGATGGTGGTGGTGTTGATCGGCTTGCTGTTTTTGTTGTTGTGGCTGTTCTCCGGAATGCTGTTTTTGTAGTTTAGATTGCGACTGGTGTTGTGGTTGTTGTTGTTGTTGGGTTGGTTCAACGCTCGTTGAATGTACACTGGCAGTTTCAGGAAGTGAGTCGTTCCTCAGTCAAGGCCCGTTGTTCGGGTAGGCATGTACTTGCTGACGAAGGTGATGGGGCACAGAGGCAGCGTTCCGGCCCTGGTGTGTATTTCGGCCGTCTCCTAAACAACGCTCGGATGCAGCTGCACATTAAAATGATACAAACAAAACAAGAGTTAATAAATTCGCCACAAATAGTTTAGGGTAGAGAAAAAAAAATAATTTTTATACGGTTGGTCTTTTCTTTCGTATCTTTATGGTTAAAATAATTTATTTAAGCGTGCTTTATTTGTCTTAAGAATGGGGAGAAGTAGGCAGGGGAATTATATATAAGAAAAAAATATCTATGAGTAGGTATTTCAAAAAGCATGTTCATACGTCTTTATAGATTCATACTTGCCGAGTTCATGTGGCTGTTTCATGCATTCCTAAGACATGCTATTGTCACGAAAAAAAAGTTTATTAAATTTTTAAAATAGAAAAATCAAACAAAATTAATAAATAAAATTAGCTTAGCTGAGCGGTAGCAGTTGGGTGAGTATTGTGGTTCTTTCATTTTGCGGTACACTTTTTTGCCGGGATAATTGGATATTTACAGACGTCACATGAAGATTTCGTTTTTGTTTTTTCATATTTCACAGTAACACAGAGTGAGTTAGTTTGTGGTCAAATGTTGGCGGTGCTAGGATTGATTTTGGTGTTTAAGCTGATCTTCATTTTAGAGTGGGTTATAAATTATGTATTTCTGTATGTGGTAGGACAATTGATTATGGAAAATGTTTCAGTTAATATTCTTATGTTTTTACCTTAAATACTTCCCACCTTCTTGGGGAATCTCACAAAAAATAGTGCTATAAGAAGTTTAGTGGCCAAAGGAAAGTCCAAAGGCCAAATTCGTCTTCGCTCTCACACATAAAGAAACTGTAACCGTTTTACTATAAAATTTTCTTCTTTCCATTTACAGAGGCCCACTTCTATAAAATATCCTAAATCTCCTATATATTTAAGAGATTAATAAAATGACCGCCCAGAAGATCGTCGTTTCTAGACTTTTTAATATTTTTTGAAATTATCTTGCAGGTATTTTATCATTCAAAACCATTTAAAGTTTTCTTTTTTTTAACACTGAACCCTTAAAATTGAGGACCTTTAAAAAATACTTGCTTATAGACGAACTTAGGACTTATTTAATATAAAGGAGCTACACTCGGAGAATTATAATTATAGGCACGATTTTGTTGTGAAGCAAAACGTAATGGAAGAATAAAAGTGGAGGACGTGTTCATAGTTCGATAGAGATTTAATTGTGTACTGTTAATTTTTGTCATCCCGGTAAGATACCGGTGGTTTGTGGTTGGAAATCGGCTTAGGTGTATCCTCCATAGACAATTCACCTGAGTTCATAAAAGCCATGCTATACACCCGCTACAATCAACACACTACACATTTTCTCCATGTCATTCGAAACATTTTAAATATAATTTCTGATTTATATTTGGAATTCGAATTGTAATTCTAATTATTTCAGCTGAAATTCAAGAATTCCGATTGTAATTCAAATTAATTTAATTTTAATTCGAGAATTCCATTTTAATTCAAATTCCATTATTGATAATAATTATAAGATAAAATTCGAATTACAATTGGAATTTTCGAATTATAATTCGTAGGATTCGAAGTACAAATAGAATTCTCATATTACAATTCAAATGTTTCGAATTACCGCAGACCTTGGGCATTCCAACAGGACTCAGCACCATCGCACTCAGCACACGCCACCCAAGAATGGTTACACGACATACGACATTCTTTGCTTTCATTCAATAAAATTGAAAAAAAAAAATGTAAAAATTATGGCTTTTGACTTTGTTGCAGTTTTTTTTATCTCACCCTGTATATATGTCAAATATCATGAAGTGTGGAATGTGTGACAGAATTTGGCTAACTAGGCTAACAGTAAAAAAAAAAAACTACACAACAACTTAATTGAGGCTACGATTATTGCTGGGAAGTATGTAAGTTGATATGTATTGCTACCTAGAATACCTCCAATAGCTACAAAAATGACGTTCAACTTGAAAAGATTGCAGTTTCCTGTACGGTTGGCATTTGCTATTAGAATTAATAAATCACAAATACCAACTCTTCGTGCATGCGGACTAAATATAACATGTTCCTGCTTTTCTTATAGTCAGCTGTATGTGGAATGTTCACGTGAGGGTAGACACAACGATTTCATTGTTTACGCTTCTGAAGGAAAACAGGTTAAAATGCAGTAAATTCGGCCGGGCCGAACTTTGAATACCCTCCACCATTTGGAACGAATTTGGAAATTTTCAAAAAATAAAATCCGTTAAAAATTCTGTAAAAATTTTAAAAATACCGAATATTGCTGTTATATTGGGGTCTATACGATGTGGACCTACATAGGCATTGTTTATCATAAGCCATTATCATTTTGAAATTCGGAACTTGAAATAAACGGTGAATAATGTAGCTAAAATCATCAACATACCGTATATAGGGAGGTACAGTTATATCGGAGCTATACGAAGACCTGGACCTGCATAAACAATTTTTTGTCACAGGATGTAGCATCCTCTACGAATTCTGCATACATATTTTAAAACTACTCCGGTGAATAATGACGATAATATCATAAAAAATACCGAATATCGAGAGGTGCCGTTATATGGAGACTATACGAAGAAGTGGACATGCACAGACAATTTTCTGTCATAGGCTGTAATATCCATTTCGAATCTCAAACACCAAGATTGAAATCATTCCAGTGAATAATGTCGCTAAAATCATCAAAATATCGAATATAGGGAGGTACCGGGGTCTATGTGAAAACGTGGACCTACATGGCCCATTTACGAACTTAACCTGCCTACTGGCAAAATAAACATGTGTGCAAAATTTTAGCCTTTAATCTCAATTCGTTCGAAAGATAGCGTTATTACAACAGACAGACGGACATCGACTTAGAATTTTACGCTGATCAAGAATGTGTATACTTTGTTGGGTCTGACATGTGTATTCCGAGGAGTTACAAACGGAATGACAAAGTTAATATACCTCCCTGGAGGGTATAAAATCATTGTATATCCTAAAGCATTACAACAAGTACGATTTTATACTCTCCACCATACATTCCGTTTGTAACTACTCGAAATACTCATGTCAGACCCAACAAAGTATATACATTCCTGATCAGCGTAAAATTCTAAACCGATTTAGCGATATCCCTCTGTCTGTTTGTCTGTTGTAATCACGCTATCTCTCGAACAAATTGAGATAGATGGCTAAAATATTGCACACATGTTTATTTTGCCAGTAGGCAGGTTAAGGTCGTAAATGAGCCATTTCAGTCCACGTTTTCGTATAGCCCCCCTATAACGATACATTCCGATATTCGGTATTTTGATGATTTTAACGACATCATTCACCCGAATTGTTTGAAATTTCGTATTCGAAGTTTGTTTCGTATTCGTTGTCTAAATATTTCGTATGCAGGTCAATGTCTTTGTATAGCTCCCATAAAACGGTACCTCCCTTTATTCGGCATTTTGATGATTTTAGCGACATTATTCGCCGGAATTGTTTCAAATTTCGCATTTGAAGATCTTAATGGATACTACAGCCTAGGACAAAAAATTACTTATGCGGGTTCTCGTCTTTATATAGCCCCCCATAAAACTCATAATTTAAACGGTGTTTTTCGGAATTTGTTACACAATTTTCCTTGTAAATGGTGGAGGGTATTAAAAGTTCGGCCCGGCCCAAATTAGCTGTTTTTTTACTTGTTATTATTTGTTACTTTTTGGAGACCGTCAATAGCACTGAATCCTAGTTATACCCTCCACTTTGGAAAGGAGGGTATATTAACTTTGTCATTCCGTTTGTAACATCCTTAAATATTCGTCGTAGACCCCATAAAGTATATATATTCATAATCAGCATAAAATTCTAAGTCGATTTAACGAAATCCGTCTGTCTGTCCGCCTGTCTGTTGAAATCACGATACAGCCCCAATTCTTTGACGTATTAAATTTAGTAGAGCAAGTTGTATTGTGTCTAGGATTGTTGGTATTGAAAATGAGATATATCGGTCCACGTTTTGGTATAGTCCCCATATAATGGTACCTCCCGATATTCGGTATTTTGATGATGTATGCCACATTTTTTCACGGATTTGTCTGAAAATTGGTATTTGTAGGTCATAACGAGTCCCTGTGCGTGTGGCAAAACATGGCATGTATAGGTCCACGTTTTGATATAGCCCCCATATAAAGGTACCTCCCGATATTCGGTATTTTGATTATTATTGCCACATTTTTTCACGGATTTGTCCAAAAATTGGTATTTGTTGGTCATAATGGATTCCAGCTCTGTTGGTATTTGTAGGTCATAATGAGTCTCTGTGCGTGTGGCAAAACATTGCATGTATAGGTCCACGTTTTGGTATAGCCCCCATATAAAGGTACCTCCCGATATTCGGTATTTTGATGATGTATGCCACATTTTTTCACGGATTTGTCTGAAAATTGGTATTTGTAGGTCATAACGAGTCCCTGTGCGTGTGGCAAAACATGGCATGTATATGTCCACGTTTTGGTATAGCCCCCATATAAAGGCACCTCCCGATATTCGGTATTTTGATTTTTATTGCCACATTTTTTCACGGATTTGTCTAAACATTGGTATTTGTTGGTCATAATGGATTCCAGCTCCGGTGGCGAAACATTGCATGTATGGGTCCACGATTTGGTATAGCCCCCATATAACGGTGCCTCCCTATATTCAGTATTTTGGTGGTTTCTACCACATTTTTTCACTGATTTGTCTTGAAAATGGTATTTGTGGGCCAGAATGGGTCCTAGTTCGTGTGGCGAAACATTGTATGTAAAGGTCCACCTTTTTATATAGTCCCCATATAACGGTACCTCCCAATATTCGGTATTTTGATGATTTTTGACACATTTCTTCACGGATATATCTAAAAATTGGTAGTTGTAGATCATAATGGGTCCCAGTTCGTGTGGCGAGTCATTGTAATTATAGGTCCACGTTTTGGTATAGCCCCCATATAACGGTACCTCCCGATATTCGGTAATTTGATGATTTTTGCCACATTTTTTTCACGGATTTGTCTAAAAATTGGTATTTGTTGGTCATAATGGATTCCAGCTCCGGTGGCGAAACATTGCATGTGTAGGTCCACGTTTTGGTATAGCCCCCCATATAACGGTTCCTCCCGATATTCGGCATTTTAATGGTTTTTGCCACATTTCTTCTAATGTTTCATTTACCCTAAGGTGGAGGGTATTAAAAGTTTGGCCCGGCCGAACTTAATGTTGTTTTACTTGTTTTAAAATAAACATGTCTTAAACTACCATACGCAGTTCCATTCAAGTTTCCTTGCTCAGGTTAGTGTCAGATTTACTCAGATATTAAGCGGTGTTGCATTTTTTATTTGAATTTTTAACATCTTGTGTGGAATATCAATAAATTCTACGAAACTGTGTATGAGTGTTACGTCAACTTTATATTGCTTTACCAATTGTATTGGCCAAAATACATAATTTTGAGTGGTCGGTGTGAATTTTGTCAATTGTACATATACATGGAAAACCAGACAAGAATACAGCATTATTTTCTTATACATACGATTAGAACGAGTGAGTGGTTTTATGTATTCAACTTTTAGGGGGTGTATGTGGTGATGTGTTAGTGTATTAGTGTGTGTCAGTGAAGAACGAAACAGAGAGAGATATACAGAGATTTGGTGGAAACATAGATCTTGTGTTTTTTTTTTTTTTTTTTGGTTTTATAAATTCTACCTGATGACGTACACATTCTTCCGTGAGCCGAATGACGACGAAAATTATCCCGATCATAATAATCATAGTAACATTTTCGTGTTGGGACCGGTGTATGGATGTTGGTACCGTAGTTCGTATAACACGCAGCATTTGGGGCCAAACTTGTTGTGGGCCCCAACAGATTGGTGCTATCACTTAACGGATATGGACCCATGCCTTCAACCGTTAATGAAAATGAAGTTGTACCAAAGACTTTAGTTAGGAATCGGTTCGGTATTTGTAATTGTATTTGTGGTGTTAGAATGGTTGTTGTAATTTTTTATTTAAGTATCATTTTGGCCAATTCAATGAAATGTGTGATGTAAGTAAGGGTTTTTGGGTTTTTTGGGGGAGTTTGAAAATTTGTATCCAATTCGTCCATATTTTTTGAGGTAGAGAGAGAGAGATGGCGAAAGTTGATAATTCATTCAAGTTACCGCATAAATGATTAATGCAAAATTAATAAAAACGAAGAATATTAATTCATAAATTTATATGGAAAGAAATAGAAGTTGAAATTATAATTAATAAATATAATTAAATTTATTACAAATTATTTGAGGATATTTTAATACTGGTTTACTTATTTGATATTTGCCTTAATATCGAAATATATATTCCAGTTTAATCTAGGACGACCAATAACATTAAACATATAACAAGCACAAAACATTCAATACTAAATATGTCTATGTCATTTCTATTTAATTATATAATTTTTTTTATTATTATAGTTGGTTCCAAAGGTATACATCGAAGAGGACAGATAAATAAGAAGGAGTGGACCGATACGTCCCATTTCCGAAATCGATCTAATTTTGACAAAAATATTACGATACACCAAGTTTGGATCGAATCAAATACTCCCTTCGAGAGAGTTATTGTGCCCACCATCCAGCTAGACAGACGGACGGACACACCTAGATCGACTTCAAATGTCCTGAAACGGATTTGGTCCAAAGAGACCTAGAACCGAAACCAATTATTTCGATGATGCACGTTTTGGTCGTATCAGATGGGTATAAGAAACAATAAAGTGATTTATTGTTATCAAAAAAAAAAAAGGCTTAAAAGCCTCCATTAACCGTGGAAATAGTGACGTTGCTAAACGATCTATGCTAATTAAAAGCAAAATGCTCTGTAATTCTTGAAATAAAAAAGCCATTTGATCCACAATTAATATTAAATATAACAAGTAAGCAAAGGCTTAAGTCGTGCGGGGCCGACCATGTGATACCCTACAACACTATAATATGTTGGAAGCCCCCTTAGGTCCGAATCCATTTTGATAGATTTAGTTATTGAAGTAATGCCGAACAGCCCTGCACAAATGTTACCGTTGGTTTTTGACCGGGGCACTTGTCCTATATTTACGCTGATAGATATTCCAAACCATTTTACTCAAAATTTGTGGTTCATTTTAACCGCTAAATATAATCCAATTGTCATCCAAAAAGCTAGATTTATTCCCCATCCCAAACTCTAAAATTATACAAAATTCCGTGTCGATTGGTTCTCAATTCTGACCTGCAGAGCGGCGACAAAATCAAGGAAATTTTAATAGAACAGTGTTGGTATATTTGTTCGTGATTCTTTGGTTCCTCTTCTATTGAGCTTACGATCTCGTCACTTGTATAAAACAAGTTTTTTTGTCGCATGAGTTATTTTTAAAATAACTCCTGGGTAGAATATGCCAGACAAAAACAAGGGAACTAATGATGATGTTTGCGGCTCTTTCCGAAACCTAGGTATTCCCTGCCTTACTCCGTGGTCCAGTGCTAGCTCATTATATTGTTTAAAAGTGTACAAAAGCATTTTGGTGAGAATTTTCCAGAAAAAAAGTTATTCGTGATGGATTTCAAGCGTGATAGTGTGATTTCTTTATATTTGGCTGGAAAACCACACGTGGTTATCGTTAGAGCACTCCAGCATTTATATGTAAATAAATCTTTTGTGTCTCGTACTATCGCACGTTATCGTGATACTGGAAGCGTAGCCCGACGTCAAGGAAGTGTACGGAAGAAAACAGTAACATTAGCAGAAATGGTTCGAAAAGTAAAGAAGCGGCTTGATCGAAACCCGCGTCGCAGTGGCCGAAAAATGGCTCGTGAGCTGAGCATATCGCAAAATTCCATTCGGCAAATATTGAAAAATGAGCTCGGAATAAAGCAATTGAAATTCTAAAAAGAGCAAGAACTTACACCGCAACAGAAAAAATATAGACTCAAAAGAGGTAAAAAGTTGCTTCGCTTGGCCTAAAGTGGTGAACTGCCGAGCCGAATTTGGTTTTCTCCGATGAGAAATCATTCGTTGTCCAGTAGTTTGTAAACAAACAAAATAATCGTGTTTACACCTTTGGTTGGCCACTACAACTCAAGCGCCGGCCATGGTGATGGTGTGGGCCGCCATAACAGTCGATGGTCGCTCTCTGTGACATCAGAATAAATACCGAGTCGACTGTGACATCAGAATAAATACCGAGGGTGTATTAAAGCCTTTGGCCACGAAAACATTTTGTCAACAGACCTTGGACATTCCAACAGGACTCAGCACGCGACACCCAAGAATGGTCCTCGCTTCATTTCCAGTGCACAATGGGCACCAAAATCTCCGGAAAATATATCTTGAAAAGCAAGGTTGGCACTAAAAAATACCAAAGTGTCGATCACCTCAAGCAAGCACTTCGCTGGGCATGGGCTTAAATGCCGCAGAGCAACATTCGTGCCAAAGGTGACCATTTCGTGCCAAAGGTGACCATTTCGAACAAATATAAACGTATTCTAAATTTGAAAAAAATAAAATTAAAAAAAAAATGAAAAATTATGGCGTTTGACTTTGTTGCAGTTTTGTTATCTCACCCTGTATTCATTAGCTCAGATTAAAAGTGGATAATATTAATCCACTCCTACGGGTCAATATTTTGAATAATAATAAGTCAAAATATACTTTAATAAATTAACATAGGCTGAGGGTATAAATCTGTTGACAAAATCGACTGATACTTTTAAACATGTTAATTTACAAATTCTGGGGAACATATGCTTCAGATAAATGTGAAAAAGCCCTTAATATATGACTTTACTCGCTTAACGTTGCCTACCGTTTGAGTGGAGAACTATTCACATGGATTCGATTCTGGAGTCGTCCGCAACACTCGTCTTTTTACGTAAAAAATTATAAAAGGATGTACCGCTTCCGTTATACTATTTTTAGGCCTCGCTACAGGAATTTACTTAAACAATTTGCATGACTAACGTAATTGACACCCAATGTGGACCCCTTTTTCGTTACTAGAGATTATCACACATAATTTTATACCTTCCACAGGTGATCCGCGAAAAAACTCTGAAATCACGAAATAGTTCGTTCTATTGAAGAAGGAGCTTTGGGCTTTACTTTAGCGTGGACCAATATCCTATATAACGGTACCTACAGATTTACCTGTCAACATTTTCAAGCAAATCAGTTTTATCTTGACAATTTTACACATTCCGTGGTTGGTATAATTCTCGAAAAAAAAAATTAAATATAAGTCCATTTTTTTGATTTTCGGTACATTTAAGGATTCTGCCTCAATTTCCAATCCAATATTTTGGCTTTTTTGGCCATGGTTATATTTACTACTCCTAAATATGTTAGAGGGTTTCCATCTCAATGTCCAACCAAATCATCAGTTATTTAACATTTCGGATAGAGGGTTCGTCCCACTGTACATAACGTTATGTTTACTTCTTTATATTCCCCACACAAAAAGTAAACTGTTTTTGTGAAATATAACCCGCATGTAGCGGTATTCTAGTAAGAAAGGTCATTTCTACCAGTCGTAGTGTTTGTAATTGGGCTTATCGTTAAGATTTTAGGCGTTTTGAGAATATTGGAAAAGTTTAATATTCAGATGGAGAACATGAGAAGTTCTTGTGATTGCAATGCAATCCATTCTGTCTAATTGCGAGCGAAGTTCTGAAAGTTATAAATTTATTGCCTGCCCCCGTACATTCTAACGTATTTCCTTCATCTATGTTATCTTCAAACTTTTAACGTCACCTCTTTTATACACCTTTGTAACCAACATATAACATACATATATATATATATATATATATATATATATATATATATATATATATATATATATATATATATATATATATATATATATATTTATATATTACCAATCTCTATTTTTTATAATTAAGAACTAAACAAACAATTATGGGATAGGTAAATTAAATGCATGAGAAATGATTAAACTGTGAGAATGAGTATTCAACTATGAAATGGATATGGAAATGAAGATGTGAATGGGTTTGATGATGATGATGATAGATGCGATGATGAGCAGATGGGTAATTTCATGGGGATTCAAGTCTCTAGTGTTTGTTAGTAGATGGCTGTGTATACTGTGTTAATAATAATGAAAAAAAAATTATTGAAATTATATTTTAACTAAAAATATAAGCAACAATAAATTAAAATTATATCACACATTATGGATGCCAAATGCTTTAGGAATAAATTTCTAATTTGAATATTTTTCGAATTGCAATTTCAGACAGCGAATCGGAGTCGAGTGAACAAGTGTGTTTTGCCAAATATTATCTTTTTAAGAGTGCATTCTATAACTATTCGAAAAAAGTAGTTTTTTCTTTGGCTTAGAAAAACTTGTTAATTCGATTCCGATTCCATTGTAAATATTTATTATGTTTTGTTATATAATTATGTTTTTCTTTGAAAATAAAAAAAATAATTTCTTAATAAATAAATCTCATATAAAAAACAATGTTACATTTGTGTTAGACGTTATACAATTATATAAGTGTGTGTGTGTGTGAGGTTATGTTTGTATATTAATTAGTACGAGTACATTTCGTATGGAATTATAGTATTAATTTCTTACGTGAATCATGTTGGGTTTTCTCCTCAGACACCATGAGGGCGGCATGTTCGATGCCCGAATTCATGCTTTGTGGCTCCGAACTATTTGTGAAGTTTTGCGTACTCCTGAAATTCGCACACTCTACGATTATGTTTTAAATTGTATGGGTTGTTTTTTTTTTTTTTTTTTTTTTTTTTTTTGGTTTTGTTTTGGAATATTAACAAGATTTTTTATTTAAACTAAAAAATTGAAAAAATTATACATTGTTAATGGGAAACTGTTGTAAATCTTGTCAGTTTTTATTTGTTTGCGAAATTATTTTTTTTTTTGCATTTTCAGCGCCCTCCCGATTTTAGGTAGTTTGAAGGTAGTTGAAGTATTCACCGAATTTACGGAATTCATTTTATATCAGCCAAAATCCTGTACTATTGCATACTTTCGGGGGTTAGATTACATTGTACAAAAAGAAAACATTTATTTTTCAAAAATTGTGGCAAAAACTTTAGTAGATAATCAAAGTAGGACTAAAATGGGATGACACGTTTTAGCTTTGGAAGTTTACATTGCAAAATAGAGAGAGAGAGAGCAAAATACCCATTCCTCCACATTTTTTTTAAATTTTCTGATTATTATTCATCAGAATCGTTGCATTATAGATACACCGTTTTCGGTAGTATTATTAATAACAATTAAAAAAATATTAAAAGTTCGGCCGGGCGAACTTTGAATACCCTCCATTAATTGGAACAAATTTGGAAATAAAATCCTTAAAAAATTCTGTTAAAATATTAAAAATACCGAATATAGCCGTTATTTTGGTGCCAGTACGACGTGGACCAAAATATTAGCCTTCTGTCTCAATTCGTTCGAAAGATAACGTGATTACAACAGATAGACAGACGGACATCGACTTAGAATTTTACGCTAATCAAGAATATATATACTTTGTTGGGTCTGACATGATTATTTCGAGGAGTTACAAACGGAATGACAAAGGTAATATACCCTCCATAGTATGGTGGAGGTATAACAACACGAGGAATATTTTGGTCAACCATTTTATGTCTCAAATCACAAATGGGCTCTTTTTTATACCCTCATGTCAGACCCAACAAAGTATATATATTCTTTCGAACGAATTGAGATAGAAGGCCAAAATGTTGCACACATTTATTTATTTTTCCAGTAGGCAGGTTAAATTCAAATTACGTATTTAGAGCTCGTAATGGGAACTACAGTCTGTGACAAAAAATTGTCTATGCAGGTCCAGGCCTTCGTATAGGCCCCACATACCAGTACCTCCCTATATTCGGTATTTTGACGAGTTTAGGTACAATACCCACCGAAATTGTTTGAGACGCGTATTTCAAGTTCGTTGTGGATGCTACAACCTATGGCAGAAAATTGTCTATGCTGGTTCAGGTCTTCGCACAGCTCCGATATAACGCTACCTCCCTTTATATGATATTTTGATGATTTTAACTACATTATTCACCGTTTATTTCATGTTTCGAATTTCAATATGGTAATGAGTTATGACAAACAATTCCCATGTAGGACCACGTTGTATAGACACCAACACCAAGGGCTATATTCGGTATTTTTAAAATTTTAACAGAATTTTTTAAGGATTTTATTTCCAAATTCGTTCAAAATGGTGGAGGGTATTCAAAGTTTGGTCCGGTCGAACTTACTGCTTTTTAAATTGTTTTTTTTTTTTGAAAAATTGTTAAAAAACATTGTCGTAACAGTAAAAAACATTTTACTAAAATATTTGTCATCAAATCCTACTACAAGTCCCAGAATATATCAAACCTCTAAATCACACCTACACGCCAGGAATGCATGTATATTAAAACCACATTTTAAGGTTAAAGCCTTACTTTTTAAAAACTTATGCAAAATACTCCTACAAAGCATAATTTTGGAAGGATGACGTAAGAGACAAACATTTTCTTCACCAAATTCACTGTACGTCGCCATAGAAAAGAAATTTATATTTCTATTATAGGTATATCAAGAAATTCACTGTTTTAATTTTTCAAAAAAAAAGCAAGTTAAAAGTTATCAGACGGTTTTGCCGACAGATGTATACCTTCAGTCAATTTTCGATTATTTAAATATATTTTGACTTTTGTTATGGTTATTCAAACTGTTGACTCTCTATAGAGTACGTTCCTAGTATAAATAAATATGACATAAATATTGCGACATGCCCGGTTTGGACTATATTGGTTATTTCCTTCACTTTATATGAGAGATGTAATAATTTTTAGAAAATGTGCGTGAGGTACCAAATATGGAGTATTCCATTGTTATACTTCATCTAATACAGATAAAAATATTGGCATGTACAGAATCGAAATCATAAATTTCATATTCGTCTCAGGTTTCTGGTTGAAAGAAATATTTAGATATAGCAAGTTTTAAAAAAATGCTTCGCAAGTTAAGACAGATAAAAGTATTGAAAATTGTGACAATTAGTGGGTGCGGTACCGCAGATATCTTTTTTTTGAAATCTCTAACCCGATATGGGGGAGTTACCAAAGAAATGGTTCAATCTCTTCCATCTTGTGGGGGAGATACCAGAACGAATGGACCGATATATTCCATCTTCATAGCAGATCTTGTGTTAGTAGAAGAAATGGTGAAATATGAAGAGAACCGGATGCATATTTCGGATTTAAAAATTGTTTTCGTTATTCGAAACTTTGACCCCTTGTGGGGGAGGTACCCGAACTCAAATATCTTTTTAACAGAACTTGTGTTGATAGAAATATTGTGGGGAGTATCCGATTTGGTCCAAACTTGGTACATCGTCATAATATTATCAAACTTAGATTGAGTTCGGAGATGGGCAATATCGGTCCACTCCTTCTGGTATCTCCCCAAAAAAAGATCGCAATTTTCAAATAAAATATTTTACTGCACACAGAGAAAGAGAGAGAGAGAGAGAAAATATAATCCGACTTTGCTCCATCTTTGCAAATCCTAATATTTGCATAAGTGCTAGTTCAGGTGCGAAAATGGACAATATCGGTCCACTCCATTAAGTACCTCCCCCACAAAGGGTCAACATTTTGAATAATTACAACTCTTATAGAATGTGATGTTCAAATTACACATATCACAATATTTTTCTTAATCCAAGGTTTGGTGTGAAGATGGTATATATCGATCCATTCCTTCTGGTACCTCCCCCACCAATGGTCAAAATTTTGAATATTCAGAAAGCTTTTAAAACACGACATCCGATTCCATTCAGACTTGGCACATCTCAATATTTCCATCAACCCAAGTCTTTTATGAAGGTGATAGGAGCGGACTATTCCATCTGGTACCTCCCCCACAAAGGGTCAAAATTTTGAATAACCAAATTACACATATCACAATATTTTTATTAGGTCTGGTGTGAAGATGGTATATATCGATCCACTCCTTCTGGTATCCCCCCACAAAGGGTCAAAATTTTGAGTATCCATAAAGCTCATAAAACCCGAAAATAACGTCCATTCAGCCTTGGTACATCTCATTATTTCCATCAACACAAGATCTCTTATACAGATAGTAGCGATCGGACCATTTCTTTTGGTACCTCCCCCACATAGAGTTCAAGATTTTTGAAAAACAAAACGCTTAAAGATAGCGTAATAGGCATCCAACTCTCTTCACATTTCACATATCCGTATGTATTGTGAGGATGAGGATCCAACCCCTTCTGGCAACTTACCCACAAAGGGTCATAATTTCCAATAATTATAACTGTCATAACTTGTAAAACCTATCAGCGATTCTTTACAACTTGCGATATCTATATATTTATCTTAACCAGAAATCTCACATGAATATTCAATTTATCGAAATTTATGATTTCGCAAAAAATTGGATATAAATATTAGATTTCCTTCAAATTTTGCACATACCAGTATTTTTATCTGTATTATATGAAGTATAAAAATGGAATAATTCGGTCCGCTATGTCTGTAACCACACGCATATTTCCACATTTTCCAACAAATTACACATATCTCATATAAAGTATAGGAAGTAGTCGATATAGTTCAATCTGGAATTGGTCAATATTGGCCAACTGCTTCGGAACCTCCCCCAAAAAGGGTGACCAACAAGGCTGGGGTATACATCTGTCTTCAAAACCGACTGATACTATATTATTATTATTTTTTTTTTTTTTTTTGAGTACATTGATGCAAATATTTTTTGATATGCAGTGAAAATAGACTTTTCTTTTCCTTTGTCGCTTATTATATAATTTGTTGAAGAATATTTTTGTCTTTGACGTCATCCTTCTATAATGATGCTTTGCTGGAGATATTTGCATAAACTCTCACAAAGTAGTGCTTTAACTTAAAAATGTGTTTTTTAATATATATGAATTCCTGCCGTTTAGATAAGATCTAGACTTTGAACATCTTCTAGAACAATTTTATGACAAATAATTTGGTGAAATATTTTGACTTGCTACGATTCCGTTTAAAGGGAGTTCCCTTTTACCATATTTTCGAAAAATGACCAAAAAGTTCCCTATGATAACTCGTTTGAGGGTTATTTTTATCTGCAATTTTGCCTAAAAAGCACGGATTCCGAGGAATCTTAATCCGAAAATTACCAAAAGTGTTGAAGAGGGGGCAAACTTTTAAAATGCCGATACACGTGTCCTATTTCTTATCTCTTTCATAATCTGTTGGATTTTTCGCGTAATTATTTTTTTTGTGTTGCACAGTGCTTTTAAGATCTGTTAAACGATAATCGCTAAAATGGCGAAGAAAATTGCCTCCGAAAAAACGAATAATTTTGTGTGACCGACAATTTTGCAAAACAAGAGTTGAAATAATATGATCATGAGGATATGTATATTTGGTTTTTTTTCCAGAGGTAGGTATTTGTACCGAGAATCCGGGAAAAGTATTTTTTTCTTGGGGGATACTTGTGCCCAGATATTTGAAATCGGGACGCGGATCCAGTAGACCGATATGAAGAATACATGTATAATTTTAAAGCAAATATTTATTCAAGTCACGGTTTGGGAGTTGTATTAAAATTATCACTTTTTTGAAAAAAATGCCCAATAGTCGAAAACGCCTCCTTTTAGGAATCCACAAAATAT